CCTTTTTCTTTGCCGTGTTTTTTCCCCCGCCGCCCTCCCCGAGCCCCCGCTTTGTCGCTCGTGAACGAAAGCTTCAATTAACTTGCCTGTCTCTCGCTCCGAACGAATGTCGAAGTCGAGGCGCCTTGGATCGCGGACCGGGAAAGAGCTTAGAAGTGTCGAGCCATTTGCTTCCTGTTTTTAATTTATGCAGAAGAAATATTTCGGTTATTATGAAATGTGTCTCATTTTTTTTTATTTGCACAATCGTCGTTTCGTTTACCAAACAAAGGAAAGCACAGTGAAAGCTCGCGCAGTCGAATTGTTTAGGGACCGACGAAAAATTCGACTTAAATGGCAATTGGACCGAGTTTATCAGAAAGGAACCAACCCACATTTTTTAAGAAATTGAGTTAGGAATGTTTTTGAGTTTCTTTAGCCCTAAATTTTCTCCTACCAAAAACTGAAAGTCTAAAAACAAAAATTTTGTCGTGAAAAGAGGGATTAAAGTTTATTTGTTACATCGAGCCTTATGCAGGAATAAAACTTCAAATCTCTTCATCTCAGTTTCAACATAATGTTGGGCGGTTCCTTTCTGATGAACTCGGTCCAATGCGTCTTAAAGACTCATCTTTCATTTAACTTATGGATAAGTCTAGGGATTGAAATAAAATTTGACTTAATTTCCATTTCGTCTTATCGGTAGTTCAACTTAGCGAGCTTTAACTATATTTCTTTTTGAAAATAACAAAATTCACTCAAACAATTCAATTTTCCAGGATTATAGCTGAGCAATTTATACATGAAAGTTTGCTGATTTTTGAGCGTAATTTTTTCATAACAAATTGTATTTAAATGTAACGTAATTACAACAAAAATATGTATTGTGTTCATCTACAATATTTAAATAAATTAAATTAAATTAATGAAAAGTAACGTTCGATAATTGCTTTTTCTTCAAGTCAGAGAAAAAATCACAACATTTTACAAAATTGCATACTGATCTCCCGGTAACGTCCGATGAACATTCATCGGTAACGTTAGATAATGGTACACAAAAAACAAGAATTAGAATAAAATTCTTTGTCTTTTTTTTTTTTTGTAAAATTCCCCGTCTCTTGTGTATAAAATTCTCTGAAAAGTTCTGTCTTCCTTTTTTAAGAGCAAATGAAAAGAAAATCAGTGAATTTTTTAGTTAGAGATTCCTTCTCGTTTTCTCATAAAAATACAAATTCTTAGTGGAAATTTTGGACCGTTTAAATATAGTTACTTGGGAGACGAAAAGTTGGACGAGGCGGTTGGAAAGTCACATGTAGATCCTGCCACTTTAAAATACTTCAATTCCTCGGGCGATACAAATATTTTAACTCCTAGGATGTGTGTGAAGTATCTCGATTTTTGAAGGCGTTTTTGTGATGTGATGTTTTCATTCAAAATTAGGTAAACTAGACTCGCTAACTCCTTTTCGTCAAACTTGTCAGTTAGGCGGTATCGTCAGTTGGCCCTCGCACCGCTATATTCGCAGGACAAAGTACGAAAGAGAGCGAGAGGGGGGTGAGAGGGAGAGAGATAGAATAATAAAATTCCTTATTTGTATTTGTCCCGGAGACAAAATTTCAAACGACAAAAGTAGGAATCGAAGATAAAAGATAGCCGGGAGAGGGCCCTGAGTTATGAAATGGTCAACTAATGCGTCATTATCCGCAATTTGCCCGCGAGTGCGAGGCGAGAAATGACTCGTAAATCTGCGCGCCGCGCCACATACGTAATGGCGCGGGCCAATAATTTAACCGCACCGACGACGAAGGCGACGGGACGTGGCTCGCATAAAATTCCTTGTCTCCGCCATTCCGAGGATGAGGAAACATTAGCCGAGGAAATGCAGGAACCGAGAAACGAAGGAGAGGGAAAAGAATAAGTTCTTTGTGAAAACATTCGGTGGCGTAAGCCATTTACATCCATCAGAGCTCCTGTTCCAGGGAAAAACGTCGTATCAGCCACCAGGAGTTGCCAAATCTCCCATCGTAAAATAGTAATTTTTGAGGTTAGTTACACTGAAAAAAAATTCTCGGCGTTTTTACCACGGTCCGTTGGTACCTTTACCATCTCACTTTGGTAATTTTACCAAGACAGACTTGTAAGCTTACCTAAAAACCGGTATTTTTACTGTTTTTTTCAGGTAAGAATACCACTTTTATTGGTAATCGATTCCCGGTGACTTTGCCATTTTATCTCGGTAATTCTACCACAGTCGATAGAAAATATTGGCGTTTTTACCGGGGTCCAGTAAAATTACCGAGAAAGTTCAATAATTTTAAAATTACCAAATCCATAAATGGTAATTTTACCAAGAAAAAATTGGGATCAAATAGACCCCTGAATTCTTGGTAATTTCACCCTTTTCTTAGTAAATACACCGAGATTTTTGTTTCAGTGTATGCATATTTTTCCGTAGATTTTCCACAAACTTTAAATCAAACTGCGAGTGGGATGCTTTGAAAAATTGGAGGAAAAATATCCAATAGTGTTCCTCGAAATTCGAATTTTATAGGAGGGAATTTGGCCACGCCGGAGGGCTCATACGCGGTTTTTCCCGAGGACGGCAGAGAGAAGAAGCATTGAATGAAATATCAAATTAGGAGCGAGGAGGGGAGGGGAAAAGAAATAAATTTATATGCTAAACGGAACACTTAAACTGTAATTTGTCGGGGAGGAAAAACCAGTACATTACAATATAAAACGTAATTTAAATAAAGAGAAAAGAGAGGAATTTACATAAAATCAATATAATAAACTCATTTAATCGGGACAAGATGAAAAAAATGACTTATTATGTCGGGAGCTCGGTCTCTCTCGATTGTTCGCCGGGCGGGTCGGGGTGTCTCTCTCCCTCTCCATCGGCTGCCCGACCCTGGAGCCCCTCCTTCTCCGGCCTTTTTTCTTAGCATGTGTTCAATTTGAAATCATCGGTTCGCCGGCCCCGGCACGGAAAAGCTCAAAGCTTCGCTCTCCGCGCCGATCCGCACAAGGTGCTTCCAAAGCTCGCCCCGCCAAAGTCAACTCTTGTGCGAAAAATAAAATTTTACTTGAAAGTATAGGATGTGAGTAAAATGTTTGTCTCTTCTTTTTGTTAGAAATGAACCTCGGACTATACGAATTGATTTGGCGGTAGGCCAGTTCGTATAATCCCAAGTCAGAGTCAGCCACTACTTTTCGTAAAATGAATTGAAAGTCGATTAAAGGAGGGGTACCAATAGGGGGTCGTTTTTGCGCTCATCCTAAAATTCCTCGACTCTGCGATTTTTTGATCATTGAAAGTCTATACTTTGCGGAATGCATAATTGTTTGGTCATTTTCAGTCTATTTCAGGGCCCACTACTGGCCTATGAATGGGTCTGAAGGCCGATTTTGGCGATAAATGCGGGTTTTTGGGCATTTTACGCGTTATCATTACGGGTCCCATAATGATCCCATTGGAGGAACAAGGGTCCTTCAAGTGTGTTCATTAGGGATGTAAGAAAATTACTTTGGCCAATTTTCGTCGAACTTTGCGCTCATTGTTAAATTTTTTTTCTTTAGAATTTTCCTGCTTTTCGTCATAATTTAAAATGGCAAACGGCGCGGCGACTCGTCTTGCCCCAGAATTGAACTCCATCGGCAGAAAATTTACCTGGGTGGTAAAAACGTTCCTCTAAAAAATGTTGAGATTCATAGCCTCCTAAAAAACCGGAGTTGTCATATTTTATTGACTAAAATCATAAACATACAATTTGTAAAAAATTGAATTGTTTGAGCCAATTTTGCAACCTACGAATGGAGTTACGTTCTCTTATACGGGAAACGACTAAATAAACCGAAGTTTTCTTCTCCGTCTCTATAGTTTCCTCAACATTTTCCGGAAAAAAAAAATAACTCAAAATAAAAAGCTGTACTTTCAGAATCACCCTATCGTCGCGGCCGGCCTCACGCAGGGCAAGGGAGGAAAGAGCGAAAATCTTCTGAAGCGATCACAACTCACAGGGGAATGCATTTGACCGGTGCACCTCCCCCCCCCTCACAACCCCTTTCCAACCCCTCTCGTCCCGTCGATAAACAAATATGCATCTATTCAAATGAGACCCGCATCGCGACACGATAAGTGCCCGACGGACTCGGGGAGTGTTTTGCTAGTCATTTATTTGCTAATGTTCTCCAACCATCTTAGATTGATCTCCGTCTAACCCCTTCGCCCCCGGGCGCGATCTGCGCTTTTGAACTTGAGAGCTTCTTGATTACGGTGTCTCGGGAAAACGACTTATCTCCGATCGAGTCCGGATGTATCATTGATTTTTCAATGGAGATGTTGCATGTGTGAGGAATTTGCGATTTGACTGTTGATTCATAAGTAAAAGTTCGGGAGAAACACGATGGTGCCACTGGTTTTCCCTGAAATCAACTTCCAAGCTCATAAAAAGCACTCAAGTTGAGGCCAAAATGGAGGGGATATCCCACGCTATCCTGAGAGTCCACCTCTACATCAGACAAACTCTCCATGCAAAGATAGGGAGCAAATACATCAGCAGTGATGCCGTGTTTTCAGTTTTAGAGTCCCAAAAATAGAGTGGCAGCCCTGTCAATGCATTTCCTCCCTATCTTTGCATGGAGAGTTTGTCATGATGTAGACGTGGACTCTCAGGGTGGGGTGGGATATCCCCTCCATTTGGTCTCAACTTGAGAGCTTTTTTTGAGCTTGGGAGTTGATTTCAGAGAGACCCAGTGGCACCATCACGTTTCTCGCGAACTTTTACATAAGAATCAACAGTCGAATTGCAAATTCCTCACACTTGCAACATCTCCATTACCATTGTGTTTCCACTCGTTGTAATACTGAAGTGCTAAGGAAGAACGCCGTATGAGCATTTTAGAGTTGCCAAATTTCCTCCGATAAAAAAATGTTTATTTTTATTGTTTAAAAATGATGTCTCTGTTTTCTTTGACGTAATTTCTCGCGCTAACAGGTTGTGCTTTTTTGTTTGTTACAGAATCTTTGGCGCAAGAGTTAGAACAAGAGAGGAAAAAAGTACAACAGCAGCAGCAACAGCAGCAACAACAACAGTCTCAAACGCACGTTGAACGAGATGTTAAATCCCCATTGCAAGGTATGTCATACCCGACAACTCGTCCAGTGTATCGTATCTTGTCTAATCGTCCATCCTCAGACCTGGAAGGTTTTTTCCACGAGCGACTGTTAAAAAGATCAATGTTGATAACATTTAAATTGCTGGCAGAAGTAGAAAACCACTTATCTCCGTTTACAATTTTGTAAATGTCCGTTCATAATTTATTTTTTCTTCGGAAAACATGTCTATTTTATTTATTGAAAACTTTCTTGACACTTCTCCTCTGTTTTCAGAATATTTTGTAGAAATTTCTAGCTATACAGTTGACTTGTTCCTCTTCGAAAAAAATAAAATAAGAGCAGAGCTTTTGAAACTCCGCAACGGGGATACGTGGTTTCGCACTTCAAGCATCGAAATGAATAGTTTACAACACCGCATTTCTGCCGCGCCGAGGAAAAACGCCGTACGAGCCTTCAGATGCTGCCATATTTCCTTCAATAAAAGCCAAATTTATCGGGAGAATTAAGGATTTTCCCCCCAAATTTTTCAGACAATGGGCCTGTTGCAAACTTTTGCTAGAGCAAAACTAAGAGTTGTTTCTTATAGATAATGCCTCAAAAATCACGTTGAGCGCATCGGCAAACTCTGAAATGCACTCATAACTTCACAATCTGCGTAAGAAATTTGCGGTTTTTTGAGCTTCCCGCTTCAAAAACGATACTACGGCACAGGTGAACATTTTGTAAGAGGAGTCGTTCCATCGTCGGCAATAATCATCATAGCCGACGCCAATCCGCCAAAACACGTTTGAAGGGACGACATAACACCTGAACTGGATTAGACCAGATAACAATCGGTGTGTTAACGTTCATATTTTCCACGCCCGAATGGATTGACCTTGAACTCTCCTTGAATTACGCGCGGAACTGCGTGCAAGCGTCGGCCATGATGAATATCGCCGACGATGGAGCGACTCCTCTACCAAAATGTTCACCTACGCCGTAGTATCGTTTTTGAAGCGGGAAGCTTAAAAAAACGCAAATTTCTTACGCAGATTGTGAAGTTATGAGTGCATTTCAGACTTTGCCGAAGCGCTCATCCTGATTTTTGAGGCATTATCTACAAGAAACAACTCTTATTTTTGCTCTAGCAAAAGTTTGCAACAGGCCCATTCTGCTCGCGATGTAATCTAAAATATCTGAGAATTTCAAGGAAAACTATGCAAAACTTTACTTACAAACACATGTTCTATTCGAGGAAATACGGCAACTCTCGAATGTTCTTACGGCGTTCTTGCTCAGCACGTCGGATTTTTGAAGCAAGGAACGACCCTTAGTTGACAGGCGAAGAGTAAAAAACCCACCCCCTCTCAAAATCCAAATCACACCCGAAAATGACGTCTTGCGGAGGAAACGTCTTGCCGGAGACGAGATAAGCCCCTGGATGCGTTTGTCAAATCCACATCGAAACACCCCCATTTTACGCTTGATCTTGGGAGCGCGCCGATGCCCTCACCATTCACCAAGTGGCAAGGGCGTTCGAGTCTCAAACGTCAAAGTTCCAGAAAGCTGCGCGAGTCTCTCAAGCTCTGAGTTTGAATGATATTAATAACGCGAACGCGCCGAGTCTGAATTTGAAAGATATTGATTCTGTGAGTTTATTTACTCGAAGAACGCGCGAGAAGGCAGTGTCAACTCTCCTTTTTAAAGTTTTGAAAGGATCGCGACATGCGACGGGCTTTCAATACATACATCATGGTTGTCATTTTATACGTCTTAGCCAATCACGCACTGGAAAAAAAAAAAAAAAAACACATTGGATTTAGAGTCCAGAATCTTGAAAACATTGACATGAAGAGGGACTCTTGATTCGATCAGATTTAAGCTTAAATCACAAGGAAATCCGCTCAAATTAAGAGGCTTGGTTCCTGATTTAAGCTTAAATCTGATTGAATCAAGAGTATTTCTTCTTGTTGATGTTTTTAAGAGTCTGGACTTTAGATCCAATGTGTTTTTTTCCAGTGGTCCACAGTGTCACAAACAGGAATAAAGATTACATTTTCACCAATCGCAAAGATTATAATCAGGAATGGACCGAGGAATTGCAGGTTCGACAAGGAACAAAGGATGACCCATTTTTTACAATTTCTTTCTCTCGTGTTTGGACCACGTCATGTAGCCTTTGAGGCTTCACTACAAATAAAACAAATGGAAACGAAAACATGATGGGAATAGAGCAAGGAAAAGGAAGCACGTTGATGACGGCGCAGAGATACAACTATTCATACTTTATGGATGTCCGTGTTGCATGTGCAAAATTGAAGGCGCGATGGCGCTAGGCGTGCGCTCGCAGTGCTCCGCTCTACATATATTGTTATTCGGGAGAGAATTAATAAACAAGGTCGGATTATGTTCTCTTATTTCCGGCTGTGTTGTTCTCGTAACTTTTGAAACTCTACTACGAATTATGAACTAGGAGTAGTATACAGGTGTATAATGATATGATCTTTCAGATATTTAACAGCAAAGCTCTCCTGGTTGGATACATAATGTGGACGTTTTTATGCCGAATTTGTGCAAATTTATTAAGAAAAATTTTATTTAAATAAAAGAGGAGCCATGGAACAAGCTAAATATGTGTTTATAGCTCATTTGGATTAAATTTAGTACTACATGGACCGGTTTAAGCGGAAAGGAACCTAGCCACTCCAGCTATTGCCAAATTTTACTGAGCAATTTAGTTTTTACACGAAAACGGTTGTGTGGATTTTTGTGCAAATTTTAGAGAATTTACTGCATAGTAAGAGGCAAATTTCTTGAAATTTTCAAAGGAATCGCACAAACGTTCTCTTGCAAACAATTGAATTGACCAGAAAATTTTGCGATAGCTGATGTGCCTTGGTTCCTCTCTGCTAAACTCGGTCCATACGAAACCACACGAGCGAATACTTGCCGATAATCGTGAGCATGGACCACAAGACAAGGTACGGATTTCAGCATTCTGATACATGTTTCTTGACCAAAATTGCACGTAGAACACGATACGCACAACGAAAATTACCGCAATTAACTCCTTACGAAGATATTTAATGATTCTTGATGCGTGAATTGAAACCACCCGCTCAAGAAAACTCAATGCTCTACATGATTCACATCGCGCGCTGAACGTTATCATGAACGTCTCAGCGATATAAAAATCTGGCAACCTCAGTCTTGACGCTTTGGCTCAGCTTTAGCAAATTTCTTATCGTTTGAACAACACATGGTGGGAAAAGAACATTGCTCGATTGAGAAACTTGCTGAAACCATTGTAGTGCGCGATTCGACTCACGTAGAGCTTTGAGTTTCTTGTGAGCGGGCAGTTCAAATTCCTCGTAACCAATGTGAAATAAAAAGGTTAATATCTTTGTTAAGAGTTGGTTTTAGTAACTTTTGTTGCGCGAATCGTGTTCTACGTGAAATTTTGGCTAAGAAACATGTATTAGAATGCTTAAATTCGTACCCTGTCTAGTGGTCCATTCTGATCGATTCCACGCTTGCCTCTCGGAGTCATCACCCTTTAATTCCTCTCCTGTTCCAGTTTTTTCCCCCGAACATCACCGATTTAGGGCGGACGGGGTCGAGAGGGAATAAAAAAAACCCGCTCATCAACTCATGTATAATTGTCCGCCAGGAATGAAGAGGGAGGGGGAGCTGAAACAATTAATTTGATAATACTCAGATGTTCCGCGGCCGGTGCGGGGGCGAAGGAAAATATTGGAATGTTGACCGGACTGACGCGGGCAGCAGGCACCTTGCGGCTGGAACAAATTCGCCGGGAAAAAAAGCGGAAAAGGGTGGAGGGGGGGGGGCAGAAGAATGAAACAAATCGGCAGGCGATTACAAAGGCAGCTATGCATACGCAAAACACGTAAGATTGATTATTGTAAATTGTATGAAAATAATACTCGACCGTAGAACGGGAAGGCAAGGGGGTGAAGGGGGGGGCAAGGCGTAATAACCAGATTGCATCTCGGGGAAACAATTTAAAAAAATATGGAAAAAAAAGTAAGCCGTATAATGGATGATTATTCAGGTTGGCTAAAGATCGCGTCCCCCGTTAAAGGACGGGGCGGGGGTGGGGGGGTGGACGGTGCGGTATTGGGATATCGAGGGATTTTTTTCGCCGAGCGCTCCCCCCCACCCCCCGCGCCATCCCTCGGTATGGGCGTCAGACGCAGAAATGGGTCGCGAATCATTTATCACGGATCCGCGGGAATCCTAGCGGAGTCGAGGCCGCTTTAGCCTGCTTACATCCACCTTAGCCGCCCCCCCCCCCCCCGCCATTTGNCCCTTGCCCAGCGCCATTTTTCCGATCACGATCGCTGTCCCCTAGAGTGCCATACTGCCGTCCTTAGGAAAAGCGGAGTGTGAGCTTTCAGACATTGCCAAATTTCCTCTCGAGAATCTTAAATAGAGATGTTGCATGTGTGAGGATTTTGCGCTTTGACTGTTGATTCTTGTGCAAAAGTTCGCGAGAAACACGATGGTGCCACTGGTTCTCTCTGAAATCAACTCCCGAGCTCAAAAAAAGCTCTCAAGTTGAGGCCAAAATGGAGGGGATATCCCACGCTATCCTGAGAGTCCACGTCTACATCAATACAAACTCTCCATGCAAAGGATAGAGAGCAAATACATTAGCAGGGTTGCCGTGTTTTCAGTTTTAGAGTCCCCAAATGAAGTGGCAGCCCTGTCAATGTATTTGCTCTCCATCCTTTGCATGGAGAGTTTGTATTGATGTAGACGTGGACTCTCAGGATAGCGTGGGATATCCCCTCCATTTTGGCCTCAACTTGAGAGCTATTTTTGAGCTTGGGAGTTGATTTCAGAGAAAACCAGTGGCACCATCCTGTTTCTCGCGATCTTTTACATAAGAATCAACCGTCAAATTGCTAATTCTTCACACATGCAACATCTTTATTCTCGTCGAGCAAATCGTAAAACTCCTTCAAACGGTGTGTCTGATATTTTAAAGGTATGCAGTATCACTTTGAAGAGATTCCCGGTTGACGGAAGAAACCAACGGCGCCTTCAATATTTTGCTATGCAACACGGTCATTTGTCGGGTACGAATAGTTGCATCCTGCGTTTTATGGCAATTCATCACTGCGGCACGCATCACATCGTTCAGTGTCGCGCTGTGCGATATATCGATTGATCTGCCATTTATACCTATGGTAAAAGATCGATAAACAGAGTCTTCGCGACGAATACCTGAATAATCGATACTTTACCATAGCTTCAGATGGGGAAGTATCGATACTCGATCATTTCACCAGTGCGCCTTCAATACTTTGCTATGCAACATTGACAATTGTCAAGAGCTGATTTGAATCGATTTTTCAGGTCTGAAAAGAGAGCCATTTTTTTCATCCTGGTGATGTTACGTGTTTAAGTTTTACTTAATTAAGTTAAGTAATACTAAGTTTTTTTTTCTTTTTTTCTCATTTACTTATTTTTAAAATCAATCTCTAACAAAAGGCTACGTTTTGTATGTTACAGATTCCAGAGCTGGTTATTATAAAAACTCAGTTTTATTCAGCACAGCCACCTAATCATAGGTAAGTTTTTAAATTTACGAAACAAGAAACAATCTCTTTGAGAATGAACACTAATAGTAAATTAAGAGGGAAGAGAGTATGAGATTTCATCCGTCAAAGTTCAAAACCAATTTTTTTCGTTTACTTTTTTACCTATAGAGGGAGACTCATGTTTCAAAATGTTCGGACCGAGCATGTTTGCACCAAAATGTATTTTTGAAACATGTAATGATAATTTGAGATAAGAACTTTTTGTTTCCGAGGCATAAACAATTTTGCCTCGCTGAGGACTCAGAGATAATTTTCACGCTTAGGTACTGCTTGTGCTTTAGATACTTTTGACACAAAGTGGTGCATATTATAATCTCATCTTCTTTTGTTTTTTTACAGATTATTTGAGTTTAGAAAGATTCAAGAAGCCACATCTAAATCTTCGTAACTAGAAATTCCTCAGAATTTAAAGTTGAATGCCACAACTTCTGTCAGTCGTCAACCACAATTTAAGGTTGTGTTCTTGTAAATTATCACTACTTTTTCAACAGTAGACCTCTTTTTGTGAATGTAAAGCGTTTGTATTCTATACTTAAATTTCTTTTTATGCCGATCTATTCATAGAATGGGTCATTGTATTTAATAACCAGTGCTTTTTTTTCTCTGAATAACTTCGTAATTGTTTTGTACACTATATAAAAGCCAAATAATGCATATTTTTAATCTGTTTCTTTTATAGAAAGAATAAATAATTGTGTTCACGAACACTTGTATTTAGATTAATTGTAATACATTTTGTAGGTAATATTTATCAAATAGGTATCAAATGGAAGAAAATAAATTTGGTTATATTCTCAATACTTCAATTGTATTTATGACCCGTGTAGATGTGTAAATAAAACGAAAAAATCATTAGACTGTTCTCTTTTAGGTCATTTTATTCTGTAAATAGCTTTTGCGCTCTTTAGAGGAGTATACATTTTTAGTTTTTTCTTTGCTAGTATCATCTTTTAATTAGGTACGCAACAGGATCTCAAAGCTGAGAACCACTATCATTGGTGGATCCAGCAAATTGGCAACGTTGCTTTTCTCCATTTAAACCTTTGAAAATGTATCGATTCTTAGAGGGGGCAAGTGCTCCGACAAGAATCGATTATTTAACATAGCTTTAAATGGAGAAAATTCGGTGTTGCCAAGTTGCTGAATCCGCCAATGACCACTATATTATTCATCCGTGCTTTTGCCCACAATTTTCGTTCATTACTATTATTTCCAGAGGAAATCCGATCACTAAGTGACTGTACATATTGTCTCTTTGTTTTTATCTGAAAGATATATCCTTTTTTATTCCTTTTATACATATGTATGTTGTAAATATATTAGGTAATTTTCAAAAGCCTTGAGAATGGACGTTAATTTAATCGTCCTCTCATCTCTGTAAAAATTTGAATTTTTGATAGTCGGAGGATGACAGTCTTCTCAATGAAGTAGTTAAAACATATTTTGAAGAAGCAAAATGACTGATCATGTTGATATTTATAATTGCCAAAAAAAGAATCGCGTTAAAACTAGTCAATACTTTGACAACTACTAACTGTATTGTACATTTGAAGTAATAAAAACATTAAATGGTTTAAGTTTGACCCCTATCCTATCAGTTCCCAGGTCATTTGAGATTCAAATTGTCGAAATATAAGACTGGTTTGATCTTTGGTGCTCAGCTAACTGAACAGTCTATGTAAAATATTCGTACACCAAATTTAAATGAATTCTTGTGACTGCGTTTATGAACAAATGTTTCTATGATTTGGTAACCGATTATGTTGTAAGATTGAACTTTCAAGTGCAAAACTTGATGATAAGAGAAAACGACGTTTAAGCACTTTGTATTTTTTTTTACTCGGTATATTGAAACAAAAATAAGTTATTTTCTCTCTTCTGAAGTTTTCTTTGATCTCATTATAGTAAGTAATAGCTATAACACCTGTAGTATTGTCATTTATCTTCATAACTATTTACGATTAATTTATTACTGTTGATTTCGATACTATTGTAGATAACACAGTGAGTCCGAATAGCGGGGTTTGTACATTTGCATTAATCTATCCCAAAGTCTTATTCTCATCGTATTTAAAATTTAGTGAATTGGTTATTTTTAATTTCATTTTATCACAAATAACTCATAGTACCAGAAATATTCTACGAAAAATTCTACTCACTGGACAAGGAACTTGATGTATAGACCTGAAGAGTAATGACTAAACATAAGTATGCAATTTTATTACTATTGTCAGCTTTAAAATGAAGAGTTCACAAAATACTCTTATTAATATAGAATTCGTCAATAACTTCTAAGTATAGTGCTCCGTTTATATTTGACGTTTGGTTATATATTCTTAGCTGGGCAAATATAAACTTTAAAGTTCAAGTAAAAAAGAAAAAAAGGTAAATTACACATGCTCCAGCAGAATTATAAAGCGTATAGCTCTGTCTAAAGCAAATATAATTTTCGTTTTTTAATGTAATAATCATGAAAAAAAAATTGAAGTGTACATGTGTAAGTCTAATTGTAAAATCGATATTAAAGATTATAATAACTGGATTACACGATAGACAAACTTTGAACTGATCCCATGCCAATGAATGGGACGAAAAAACGATCAATTTTTAACGTATTTTGAACGCTGGTGATGACTGAAATTATATTAATTCTACTTCACGTAGCCCACTACTTAATTAAAGTGACTATTTACAATATCCTGTCGCTAAAAATGTTCGCCTGTACAAGTCACAACAATTTTGAAACGAATCGTTCAGTGAGCGAGGTATTTCACATATAGTTAAATATTTTGTGTTGTTTTTACGTATCATTTTGTAGATATGTTAACTCCATTACACATTTTGCTATTACATTATGATATAGAGTTGATACAGTTAAATTAAGAACCTTAGTTCATTTTAATTTTGCTTTGAGTATATCTTCATTGATGTCTTATAAGTTTAAATGTGATAAAATCTTATTATTTCTCAAAACATGATTGTTCTTTCTTTTCTATCTCGTAAACTTATTGAATTTCCCCGAAACATTTATCTCATGAGAACTACTCATGTATGTATCAAAGGCATCCTTTCTTGAACTCATCATCAAAAATGTGAATAAGTCACAACGTCAGAAATTACGGATGTACCATTTCCGTGTTTCCTTTTTTAAGAAATAAAAAAAAAACTGACAGAAATATACTGTCGTGCTAAGGAACAACGCCGTATGAACCTTCAAGCGTTGTCAAATTTCTTTCGGTAAATCACGAACTTTTGGGAAAATTTGTAAACATTTTTCCTCCAATATTTCAGATAATTTTGATCGCAATTTCAACCAAAGCGCCTGAAAATTTGAAGGAAAAATATCCATAGTTTTCCTCAAAAATAAACATTTTATCGGAGGAAATTCGGCGGCTCTCGAATATTCATACGGCGTTCTTCCATAGCGCGGCAATATAGGTTGAAATTATAATGGGATACGCATTTAAAAGTCACGTGACATATTTATCGTTTGTCTTGCGCAAATCATTTTTGTTTTTACAAATCAAGAATGAAAAATCGTCAATGCGGGGGAAAAGCTTCATAACGTCGTCTCTTCTACGAAAGAACGTGACTGAATTTTAACTTTGCCAAAATTCCCCTCGCAAATAGCATTTTTACATCAGGAGAATTTTGAGAATTTTTAACTGAAAATTTCATTGATTTTACTTCCTATCTCCTCTAAAAATTTACTTTTTGGGTCAATTTTGCAACCTTGAAATGAATTACGTTTCTTCACACGAGGAACAACGACAAATGAAACGAACTGAGTGCATTTTGAACTTTGCGTGTTCTAAATTCTATTTCCATTAACGTTTCTTCGAAGCTAATGGTATTAACATTTTCAAGAAATTTAAATGGCATCTCAAGTGACAAAAAAATACAGGAAAAAAAAGCCTTTGCAAAGTTAGTCTGAATAATACGCAGAAACTTGAAAAATGCGTGACTGGTTTGCGTTGTTTCAAAATCTCTGCTCCCATTCATTTAAAAGATGGAAAACGAACCAACCCTATTAAAACTTTCTCACAGAAAATATTAAGTATGGAAGTTCCCTGAAAATGTCATACAACATATATCCACTTTAAAATATACTTTGACAGGAAGACTGCAGCGTTGCATGCAGATTGAGTTTCGCTTTTTTACAGTTTTGCCGTCGAAATGAGATTTCAGTGTCTGGAATTAGGATTCGACGAGAGAAATAAAATCGATCGGAACAAAATTTAAAATATCCGAAAAGTATGAACTTTGTAATTAAAGTAAACTTCCCAATGATATCGAAATTGCCGCTTTTGCAACATAAAAATCTCGCACAGGAAAAACAAAAAGTTCCTAAATAGGGTAAATATTTGAATTGCGTTATTTTTAGGGCAAACATATTATTAATTGTATGTACTGAGTTTAGGGCCCATTTAGAAAAATCGTGGATTGTGGCGCAAAAACAACTTGCGGGAATTCTATATTGTCATATTTCTTATGCTTTTCATTAGTAATATTATTACCAAATGGACTTATTTCTGTGCATTATGACGTGAGCTCTGATATGCTCTTATGGGTCTTATGTCTTAATGCACATAGTTCCTTTTGGCAGAAATACGTCCAAATGATGAATATAGAAATTGTTGAATCTGGAAAATACTACATTTTTCATCATTGCCTGAATGCATTTCTGTAGAATATTTTATCTTAGCACCGGTTTTGAAAGGACGAAAGGTCAAATGGAAAATGTTCAAAGGCTATACGCTCAGAAATAGAGTTTACATGAGGTCACTGGTTTTCCTTTTAAGGTTATTGTTCGTCTGAAATGATGGGAAAAAGTGGGAAATGGATTTTAAAGCCAGGAAATACTCGATTAAATGATGCCATTTTTTGGCGTTTTCTATTTATAAACGTCAATTTCAACTAAAACATGCATTTTCATACGTTCTCCTCCATCGCATGGAAGTCTTGGAATCATACCACTCCGGCAGGAAAATCCTAAATGGAAAACACCATTCGACCAGATTACTCCAAGAATTGCAAAGACAAATGTTGCCTAAAATCTCTCTTTTTATCCAGTTGAAAAACGAAGTAAAATTACCTTGCAGTTCTCTTTTACGAATGAAAGACCCTCTCAAAATAGAATCTTTCCTCACCTCTTTTTTGTGAACCTCGAAACGTCATTGGCAAAAATCGGTGATGGGACTAGACGCAGGTAAAAAAATTTCAGCCTACGCTCAAAGCTGTTTTTTAGTGTTACAGAATTGCCAAGTTTACACCGTTTAAGTTTTATCGTACCTCTTGATGAGTAAAAAAAAAAAAGGTAAAGTTGTCATCGCTAAAATCAACTTTAAACTCGAACTGAAAATATTATAAACTGCCATTTTGACCCACATCTCAATAAAATTCTGGAGCTCCAAGAAATATGGAAAATTTGACCACGTTAAGCTAAAAGGAACCAAGTCGCATCAGCTATTGCCAAATTTAATTGGGCAATTCAAATTTTTACATGAAAACAGTTGTGCAAATTCCGTGATTTTAGTGAATTTCCGCATAGTACGAAGCAAATACCTTCAAATTTTCAAAATAATCCGCACCAAAGTTCTCTCGTAAAACATTAAATTGCTCGGTTACATTTAGAGACAGCTAAGTGGCTCGGTTTTTTCCTGCTAAACACGGTCCAATTTTCGATTGGATCGATATGAATTCCTGACACAACAGCGGGCCGATTATTGAAATTGATAGACAAAGTTGTAGACAAAGAAGACATATGGAGTATGGAGGGATCCTATTGGTTGAAACTGGTGATCTTTACATAGACTAAGAGGGAAAACGAGACTAATTGTCGGGTCTCTTGTCGGTTGCCGTTAGTTAGTCTATTGCTTAGCTCCTCTGTCTATTGCAACCACCGATTTCCACCAATAGGATCCCTCCATATCCCTTTTGTCTTCTTTGTCTATAGCTTTGTCTATCAATTTCAATAATCGGAATCTGGCTTTAAAAAAACAGGGAAAATCTCTGTTTCGAACAGTATTCCTGTTCCTCAAGAAGACGTCATGTTCTTTAAAGGAGATTTCCGGTTCACCCAACAAAATTCCTTATGAAGAGGAGTTTTTTTTTCTCTAAGGAAAAGCAACTTTTTTGGAGATGCTTCATTTCTTGACACCTTCCACTCCTCCATTCCGCGATGCACACGTCAAATCCCCGCGGAATCGCGAAAACCCTCCATTGGCAAAAATACCGGAGATACGAGCGCTCGCACAAGAAATCCATACGAAGCGGGAGGAACCCAACAGCCGGGGGCCGCGACCCCCCTCTCCTCCCTCCCCG